TATATTTGCTTCATAAAATGTATTAGGAAGTTTTCCATTCTTTTCTACATTCTGGAATAGCTTGAGTAGAATTGGTTACAGCTTTTCTTTGAATGTTTGGTAAAATTCACCAGTAAAGCTATCTGGACCAGGATCTTTTTTGGTTGGGAATTTTTAAAAGCATGTACAATGTTTAATACAGTATGCATAATCAGTTTACAATCATGGCAGCTATTATTATTATGTGATTATTATAAAAAGCTTCAATTAAATTCTACTGACCTTTCTACTTAGTTTTATATAATTCAAAACTATTCCAATAACGTGGGTGAAACTCAGTTGACTGCATACAAATAGAAGCCTTTGCACCAATAATGTTTGATACACCCACACCAAACTCCACAAATAATTGCAGTTACAAATTGTACAGTGTAATAAAGCAATGATGATGATTAAAGGAGCATATTGGATTGCAGTTGTCTTGAAGTGGGGGTTGGAAGTGGTCTTCTCATGGAAATCCTATGACACAGAGCTTATCAAATGGAGGCCGGAAGCTTCCATAAGGTTGCTATTAACATTTCTATTCCTTTAATCAATAAGGATGTGGAAATATCCTTTACAAAGTATGTATGTGGGCATACATTCTAGAGATTAGTTGAGAAATTGGGTTTATCTATTCTAACAAATATTTGTGAAATTGCATTTTCTTTTTCTCTAGAAATATCAGTAGTTTTCTTTTTTCAGATTGAATACATAAAAGTACATAGTTTATGAACAAACTAGGGCTATGAAACTTCCATGTTTCATCTATCGATCTCTAAAAAAATTGTTTACCCATATATTTTCCCTTCATTGTATCAATTTGAGCAACTGCTCTTCATCATCCTATGTGCAGCAAGAACCATCCGTGGTTCTTGTATTGTCCATCTATCAAGGAATCCTTGAAATAGCATTTAAAAAATGTGACAAATCTCCATTGCTAAATCATTACTCGGTTTCACAGATGCAGTATTTCATTAATTTCAAATTATTTCTATGCAACTAAATATTCATATACTTATAAGTTATTTCACCTACTATTCAATAACAAATTGCTAAAGCAAAACTCTTTAATGTACTTAAAAACATTTTTTCTTTTGTAAAAAAAATAAAAAATAATCCCTTACAATATCTATAACATGTGCTGATTCAACAGTTGGGAATTTTTTTATGACCTGATCAGTTTCTTCCTTTGATATAAGTTTGTTCAAGTTTTCTACTTTACTTTGTGTAAGTTTAGG